AAAAAATTTTTCATCAACTAGTTAAATATTTTCCAATAATTGTTTTTCAAGAGATATGCATAAAAAACAGTAATCAGAAAATTAATATTCGAAACAATATCAAATAATTGAAAAAAAAATCAATTATTAGTCATTGTCTCTTTCACGAAAAGTAAATTATAAATTATAGAATAATCAGATATTCTATAAAATAGAGTTTATGATAATATAAATATTCAGTAAAACATTAGTGATTTTTACGAACAACAATTGAATACTTCAAAATTGAAGCAAAACGATTTGTTGTTGTAAAAATACGATTTTTGTGATCGTGTCACGCAGAAAATTTTACCAAAATAATCTTAAACAAAGCTTGATAAAAGATTATATTTGTAAAATTTTCTCGAAGAGTATCTGTAAATTTAAAAACAATTTAAATTGATTCTAGATGATTGAATAAATTACAATTTGTCAAAATATTAACAGAATAACATTTTGCAATATCCTGTAATTGATATCAATTTCTAGATGACCCCGAAAAATAATAGTTAGCGAAGATAAATTTGCAATTTATAAAATGCCACGATTTTATTTTATAATCTGCAAATTCAATACCATTGATAGTGCCTGTAAGGTAAAGATTAACATAAATAAATATATTTCAATGAAATAGTGAAATGGCATTAATATGATTTCGAGAGGAAACTTGTACAACTACGATAATTTCACAATTTACACGATCACATGAACAAAGCAGAATTCATTCACGTGAACGCTAATTGAAAAATTAAAACCGTTACATATAATATCAATGTAAACAAATAAAAAAATAACATCACAATGCGTAGTTACATAAAAAATTTTTCTATGTAATTACTGATGGTGTGTTTATTTTTATTTTACTGCTGATAGCTGTTGAAAAAATTTTAGAATTAGAATTGTACATTTATAAACAGTTTCTAATAAAATAACAACCTTGAAAAATTATAAATAGTATAATTTTATAAGAGTTCATATTTTTCAAGAAACCTTTTAAAATATTTCAAAGCGGATAAACCAATTGAAGTAATTTAACAGTTATAAACAATCTCATAAAGAAAGCAGAATTTTTCATGAGATTGTAAACTGAAAAAATACAAACCATGATTAACAAAAGAAATTGTTTCAAACAAATGATTATACCAAATTTCTCACAAAATGAAATTCAGTGTAATTGTAGTTTGAACAATTTTTTGCATCAATCATTAAAATTGTATGAAATGGAACAAGTTTGTAATTACACAAAAAGAACAGAATGATCTATTCTAAAAACGTAATTTAAACTTGCTAGCTGTTGATTGCAAACATTTGTAGAATTTTAAGTTTACAAAACTACAAATTCAAACAGATGTTTGCCATTGATTCGAAAGATAATTGCATTGTAATTTGCAATATAACTTATGAATCCATTCATTTACACAACATTTTAAATATATAACATAATATTTGAAGTGCATTTGGAAAGTCAATTCACAATGAACCGAGTTGCCTTCAAAATGAATTATCCCACAAGTGCACTAATAAATTTAGAAAATATGTCTTAAATTTAAGAATTATAAAACACGACGATATTCACCTTTGAAAGAGAAATAACTTTCTCTCTATTATCAACTTACAAACCAAAAAAATACCATCTTCTTACATGACTATAGAGAAAATCATCTGTAAGCGTCTCAAAACCGCAAAAGGCAGATCTTGAGACATATGATCGTCATCATCTTGAGAAACACTTTGAAATGTCGGCTGGCGCATCAAAAACATGCAGCAGTCGAAGAAAAAGTCTCCGACATACCGCAATGAGCAGCCAAAAAGGGAGGGAAGTACGCCCGAGCGCCTGCGACACCAAAAAGTAAGGGTGCCCGTCGCTACAAAAACAAAAAAAAAGCATCGTTCATCGCGAAGGCCAAGCTTGTAGGATACGCGCGCGTACACAAAGAAACTATGGCCCTTCGCTCCACTCGAGAAATCGCTCGAGTGTAGCGGAATTTAGTGTCGGATTTCTCGGAATTTCCATCTCTAGTATATCCTTTCATTTTCTGTCCTTGAATTCCAATTTTTTTGTATCAGTTGGTTATATCAATGCTAAACACTTGGGAAGTAAAAGTTGGATGAGCGTGAACAATAAATGATGAGGGTGAGATAAAATTTACAATACAAGTATCGACGACACATACAATACCATGATGTTACAATAGAATACCCTTTTGCAACGTCGATATAGATATGATATATATGACATAGTTATATAGACATGTATAATAAAATATAAGTATTATAGAATAATATGTCGAATTGGAAGAAAACAGTTGTTTGTACATGATAGTGTTAGAATATATATCAAGAGATACCGAGAGCTGTACGCATGCGACGGATACGCGCTCGCGTATGTCCCATGCGCACTGCACACATCGGTGATATATAATATATGCATTATACGAACAAAGAAGCAAAATTATGTACACGTGGTTAGTAAAAAAAGGTAGGTCGATATAATGGTTTTTTGATTCGGCGAGGCTGCTCGACGTCAACAAAGAAAAAAAAAGAAATCAAGATAATTTACTAACGTGAGCAACCACACCTGGATGTGAGAGTTAGATAGTGTCAGATAGATTTGATAGAGATAGAAAGAAAAAAAAACAACTACCGTAGGAAGCGTTTGCATGCAAGACGAATCGCACAATGGTGGGGTTCGTGGCGAGATGCATAAAACAATTGATTAAAAGAAAATTGCAGATTTTCTTATGAAATGCATCTCGACGCGAAACTCCGTCACTTTTCTGTTCCTTTTTTTTAATTCGCTTGGTAATAAATCCCTCCGTTTTCTCTTTCTACTACGTGTGTGCTACTACCAACATAAAAAAAAAACAAAAAAATAGACGAAAACTACGAGTAAAGGTGCTTTCCGTTTCCTTTTTTATGGTTCTTTTTTTGTATTAGAGAAAAAAAACACGTGGGATCTGGGGATTTCCTCGTGGTGAGACTCGACGAACTTTGAAGAATCTTCAATGATCGTTAAACCTCAACCTCTACTCACAACAATAAGACACTACTGGCTGGAGGCAGCGTGGCACAATTTTCCGTTAATCTTCGCGTTACTTAAAGATAAAAAAAAATAAAATTCGCGGAAAAGGCATTAAAGTCTGCAAGACAGAGTCTGATATAACAGTTTATTCAAACAGAATGCAATGTAACAAACACGATTCGCGAAACTGATAAAAAAAAATCTAATCAAGGTAACAAAGCCTCTGGCGGTGAAACGACCTCCGCCATCAATGCGAGCACACGATGGTTAAAAATTGTCATTGACCATTAAAAAATGAAAAAATTATAAGACGCGGGTCGTTGGAGACTTTTTTTACTGTTGAAGTGAGAACGTGCGGATGTATTGTAATTATTACGCCGCGACACGCTGGCATTGATGAGAGAGTTCGCCCCCCTCTCTCCGCAATTACCTTGAAAATCCCACGTTGCGATCGCCGCGCTTGCAATCGTCTAAATTACCCGTTACCTACTTTTCACGCTTGCGTATGATCTTTGTTGTAATTTAAAAAATGTCCGTTTCTCCAACGTTTACGATCTACACGTTTTTACAACGTCTCTAAAATAAAAAAAATAGTTGAACGATCGCGATTGTCGATACTTATTCATTATCCCTTCTTTTCCTATATTATTAAAATAACAACCACAGGGGTTTCAGAAGTGAATTACGGTTAAAAACGCAAAAGTTAGTTTGGCGACTGGGCTAAAAGCGAACAATTTATTTGCTAACACTTAAACTTTTGATTATTTTATCAGTTACAAAACTAGAGTTTCCAAAATATTCTTATATATTAAGTTGATCCATGATTGAAATTCCTATTATAAAAACAAAGAACAAAATGAGAATTTGAAAATTGAAGTGAGTTAATCAATTTACAACTATTCATTTGCAATAACATTATTTTTATAATACATAACACGATCAAGAAATCCTCTTAACCATATAATCCAAATTATGAAAACTCAAATTTACTTCAAAAGCATTGCAACACAATAAAACTAATCTAAAGCTCAGAAAGTTACAAACAAAATTCTCGATCTTTAATTCCAGCAGACAGACTCACTCTCGACCACACCTCTCGTCAAAAGTTTCGTGTTTGTTCCTTCGCCTGTGTATATTTTGAAACCTTGTCTTCGGTGGAACTTGTTTTTGCGAATTCCACAGAGGCTCTACGGTTTTCATCATCATAATCTGAGCGCTCCCTCCGCATCTGCCGCACACAACTGCTTTGGAAGCAACAGATGCGGACCAAAAAATGAGGGGAGCGTCGGCGAGTGTTTGAATCTTTCGTTTTTCTCGCGTGGGAACGAGGGGGAACCTCTCTCTTTGTCCGTGCCGGTTTTGGATTTCTAAAAGGGGGGAGAGAAACTCTACTCTACTTTCATTCTTTCTTTCTTCTTGGTTCTGTATATGTATGATAAACGGAGAGAGAGGTAAGAGACCGTGAAAAACAAAACGCGAAAAGAAGAAATGAATAAGAAATGGGGGGAAAGCAAAACACATAAGAGAATTGTTTTTCGAAACTGCGACACAAACATAAAAAAAGCTTTCTGTCAGAGACTGTTGCTACGCTTGAAAAGAATTGTGCTCTCTCGGATAATGATCGAGTTGCGCCAGACTGCCCACTCAGCAAAATAAGTTCGTGCCACCTCTCGGGCCGAGCAATGAACGCTTTCTCTTGATTCAGCTTTTGTAGCTAAGCAAACATTTTCCTTTTGTGTCTGCAGCACATGTGTAGGTTAAACGAGTCTTAGGTTTTAAAAAATTGTAATATCACTCATTTGTTACGAGTGTACAAAAAAAAAAAGAAAAAACTAAACTCATTCAACAATATGCAACGAGAGATTATGGACCAAAAAAAGGTTCTCAAGGTTAGAAATGAGCGTTCATTGAACATCAACTCGAAGGTGACGCTTCTGTCGAATGGCTTTAACGAGCCTACCTTGTGAGTCGCGTTGCGCTTGGGCAGCCTCTTGCGCGGCCAAGAATACTTCGTCGTTGACACCAGGTGCTCCAGCTGCCGCTCCAACCGACGTGTTGCTCCTATCTCCAGCCATGTGCCAATGTGCCATACCTATATTTATTTTACATAATTACATTTTTGAATTTGATTCAAGAGAAAAATAGTTAACTTGAATATTGTAAGTTATAAAATCAATGTCGAGCAGTTAGCATTAAACTCATTTATTATCGTCGATAACATCTGATATAATTCTATACGTAGTATTCGATGAATAGTAATACTGTTAGAGATCAGTCTATACAAGTGTTGATTTGGCATGGAATAGGTGTAACACACGAATGAGAAAAAAATCTCATAATCGAGCAGAACACATTTGAAACGGTGTCTCGTACTATTTCCGCTCTGCAAGAACTCGTAAATGTATTCAGGCAGAAGGATATTAATACGAATAATAGTCTGCCAACGAAGCGAAGAAGTAAGGCCAATCGCGCACAGCCAAACTCTATTAGACGTTGGCATTATGATCGGAATGTTTCCATCGTCTTCTGACGACATTTAACTTTTTCAAATAGAACTGCAGTGTCGAGCGATTAATACCATACATTTCTGAAGCTAAAGTCGTGCTAATGCCTTGCTGTAAGATTGCTTCCAACGATAGCCTAACTGAGTCTAAACTATACTTCCTGCCGTGTTTAGAAGCGAGGGACGTGATCAATGCTTCGACGTCCGCGCCGCCTCTCCCGCTCGCCGCTAAGAAGTGCACCGGCAGGCAGGAGCGACGGCACGTGTTTGTCCGCGAACTCGACTGTACAAAGCGCACGACACCACCTGCAAAACCAGAACGAGAAAGCCCAAGCTCTAGTCGCCACGCTTTTGCCGTGTGTCGTCTTTTTTGCTTTAATGGGGTTTTCGCTGGAAAGCACTTGCTGCTACTCTCATTCAAGTCACATGCCAATGATATATGGACACAAAATACATCATAGTTCCATTCAACTACTGTCGCAGATTTGATTTATGAAGTAAATGTAATTCGGTATCAAAATTACAATATATACTAACGTAGACTTCTTAACAGTAGTTTTACTATTCCAATCAAGCTTAAGAAATTAAGAGTAAAACTATCGCTGTAACAGTACTTTGAATCGAGCAGCATATTTAAAAACGAAACATTCAAGTTATCAACCCCATTATACAACATCAATAACAAAGAAAAACGGCAAATTAAACAAACGCGGCACAGCAGTCGACAGTTAAAATGCTAAGTTCTATTTGAAAAAGTGGAGCGTCATTAACAAACCAATGATGAAGTAAACCAACCGGCAGCTTGCTGTTCTCGACATTGATTTTGTCAAAATAAAAAGCAAATTGGCATTGCAAACAAACAGAAAGTAACGATATTTGAAGGTAAGATGAGCTTACCAGGGTGTTGAGAACCGTCTTGAGTACTTGGGCCTGGTCTACTGTCCTGGTCCATTTCCATGTCGTTCATGTCATCATCTAGATGCGTAAGGTCCTCAACACTCTCCTGGTCATCCAGGTACTCAGACTTTGGTTGAATGATTTCTTCGTTCGGTTCAGGCTTTTCCATGGGTATCTGCAAATGAATAATGAATTATGATTAATAAATATATATGAAGAAATGCAACTAAAAACAGAAATTTTTCAAAATAAATTAAATAGCATTAAATAATTTGAATTTGTATGAACAAATTTTTGCAATGAATTTAAAAGTTACTACATAACAGTAAAAGTGTAGAATACTCTTAGCTAGATGAAACATAGTAGAACTAAATTCAAAAATAACTAACTGAATTCTGATATCTGAAGACAAGTTTGATCATTACCTGGATCATCTCGTCGGCGGGTTTGGTGAGCTGTTGCATGAGGGCTGACCTGCCGACCGGGACCGCTTGGTCGGCGTGAGTCTTATCCTCGGCCACGGCAGCAACACCAACTGGGGGCACACTGAGGTTTGCATCACTCGAGTTAGACGCTTCGTGATTTTCCATACTATTATCATCATTGCCAAGACTTCTCCTTCTTTGTCTTTTTCGCTTTCTTGTAGGGCTTGTCGAACCTTCCCTGTAAAGCAAACAAAACATGATCATTAGTAAAAGAAAATTCAAAAAAGAAATTTTTTTTTTTGGTTTAATAATACAAATATATAATATTTACCTAGATGAGAGACCCTTGCATTGTGGACTAGCAGAGTCTTCGGGCAGATCACAGACGGGGGCCTGCTGCAGACTTTGCCTAGGAACTTTGTTCTTCTCGATGGTTAGACCGGAAGACGTATGTGGAATGTCGACCGGAGCGGCCGTCGCTGCCGCTTGACCAGCCGTCGATTTGGTCTGCCTCGTTGGCGCACTGTCGCTGCTGCTCTTGCCTGTTGTACTTGTGCTACCACCAGTTTTACTATCGGACAGGCCTTTGATTTGTAAACTTTCTGCGGCTTTTAGCAGCGCCGTTAGCTGGTCTTGCGAGATGTTCACCTCGCCTCTGTACATGTAATCCATCATAGCTTTAAGTTCTTTGAACTTAACATCCTTGAGTATAAACACAGGATGTTTGTCGTAGTGTTCACTTAAGAGACCCTGAAAAAATGAAAGAAAACAACAATTAGTTGAAATAAAACATCAGTTGACGTGTGAATCGATGAAAAGGAAAATGAGATATCCCCCCCCGCCCTATTATCATGCGTATGAACGGTAGTCGAGCCCAGCAAGTCGGCCATCTTGACTTTCACTGGATATTGATCAGGCGTACAGAGGAGAGGTACAGAACCGCGCTCAGCAAAAAAGGTGGGGAGGCGACCGGCGCCGCCAGACAGGGGAACTGCCGCCGCCTGGGTGGAGACGCGACCGTCTCTCTTAAATGAGAGACGACGCCATTTTGTGCCTCGACTGCACTCTCCTCTCTATTTGGTATTGATTTAGCTTGAGAACTACCGGGACAAAGGAATTACCGTGTAACGGGGGCTAATAGCTTATGTTAGTTGTAATGAGTGAAATTTTTATCTAGTGCTAGACCTCGCGTATTTTCGTGTGTCTTAAAATGTATAAAACTGTATTACGTCATCATGTAAATTAATCGTATAAAGAACTTTTTAAAAATTGTTTTTACCAACAATTAATTTTCATGATCGTAATGAATTTGTAGAGATCAATGTGCTTATGAAACATTTTAGTTTAACAGAAAAGCTTAGGCATTGATCAAAACAAATTAAAAAATATACAAGATAAATATTTATTTTTAAGTAACTCACCTCAAAGTATGGACTGCAGGCGGAGAGGACTACTTTGTGGGCTTTAAGGTACTTCCCCTCCGCCGCCAGGGTGCAATCAACGAGAGTGCCGGATTCCAGCAATGTGTCGAAGTTTTGTATGAGAGTGGACTGGTGGTTGTTCCACCTCAGACAGAACTGTTGATCGTCCTCCATATCTTTTCTAAGTAACAATGAAAAAGGAAAAAAACGTTCAGTCTTCAAATGCAAAATAATTTGCTTTAACTTCAATCACCGCTGCTCCATCATACAAGCACGCACGATAAGCTCTCCTCAAAGCGAGGAAGCTTCCAAAATGGCCGAGTCCAAATCTACACTGAGACCGACGCGTCGTTCTCTCTCGCCTTTCCCTTCGCGTAGCTCTTGTCGCTGCAGCAAATAATTGGAGTGGGGATGTGGCGCATGCGCCGACAGGGCCATACGAACCCTTCTCTTCCTTTCAGTTATTCGTGAAAATCAATGTCCGCACGCGTCGATAAATATAAACTAAACTGATATACCAATAAGTGGGAGTGTTATAATAAAAATGAAAATAAAACAATGCGTCGTTATGATTACGTAACGTATTTATATTATCAGTTCAGTGGCGCGCGAAAACTTACGTCATCACGTGCGATGGACTCGTCCGGTGAGGCGCGAGAACGACGCCGAGAAAAGCCGAGCATGATGCTACGCAGTAGGGGAAGGAGAAGAAAGAGGAACGCGCCGGGCAAACATGGCGGACCTGGAGCGTTTCTGGCTGAGCAAGATGGCGTGAGCCGAGAAAATTCCAATGACTCCGAACATGAAACCTGACTTTCACTCAAGCGTGTCACGAACAAAATATCGAAAGAGGAGTGAAAAACATGGAATCTGAATGCCAACTCCGTTAAGGCACATCACAAAAAGTTGGATATATGATATCAAAATGCAATGCGTCGCAGAAGCGGCGTGGTAAGAGGAAACGCCCTTTAGATTTTACGATTATCGCGACAGAAAATTTATAAAAAACAAGAGAAAACCCTTGAAAGGACACAATAAAACACTTCTACGCAAAAAATAACTTACGATTTATGTTAACAAAAGAAATGAAAAAGATTCGAAAACAAACACTGACAATGAACGTAGTCAAAACAAATACATATAATCCCGTCGTAACAGGTAATCGGACAAAAGAAACTCACCGAAATCCAATAAAAAATATATCACAGAATGCTGCAGCCGCCGTGGGCCAGCTCTCACCGACGCGCTGCCCTTCGCAATAATGGCGTCCAGTCGCGACAAGTTGAGTCGCGGTAGCTTCACTTCGGACTACCTCCCCCCCTGGCGCATGCGCCCAGCGATCGAGGCCGAGAAGGGGAGGTAAAGTGAAGAAGGAAGAAACACGACGGCGGCGTCTGCACCGCTGGGAAAATGGTGGCGAGAGGCTTTTCGTGGAATCGCGGCGTCGGTCATATCGATTATTCCACTTTGCCAGCTGCAAAATTCTAGCTTTTCACGGCAAAAATCACTTTCTCGTGACTTAAAAATTAAACACTAGAATTTTGCAGCTTATTAATGATGAATATGTTGATATTGATAAATTACGTAATTACACTCAACTACTCACTCGCAAATATAAACAAGTATGAAAAACTAGAACGTTAACTAGTGTGGTCATTTAAAAAAATTAAAAAACCGTATGCGCCGGCTGGATTTAGAAGACGACCGGCAATGAGTGTGAAAAATGGCCGCCATTGCCTACTTGGCAAACCAACATGGCGAAAATCTTGGGGAAACACGGCGTCCCGTCAATCGACCCCACGAATTTCTTCCGAAAACACTCATATTTCACGTAAAAAAAAACATCTCTATCACTCTGACGTAAGTGACAATCAAGACAAAGAAAGTCACATTCTCACAAGAGTCACACATTCGAGAAATAAAGAAAAAAAAGAGAGACTAGACTAACCTCTTGGCACAGTCTTCAATATCACAGTATCAGGACGAATCCTGAAGGGGGAAGAACTGCGCGACTCCACGTCCCGTTTGGGTTGGCCCTCTTGTCCTCAGTCTGAATTGGTGTTGCACGCCACGCGTCCGCTCGGTCTGGCCGCCCTCCGCGCAATGAGTTGCCCCAGTCAACGTTGCTAACGATCGAGCGGTGCAGCTCAGCTACACTCTCTCCCTCTCCTCCCTGAAAGCTGCGCGCGCACCACCACGAGAAAGTTCTTTAGCGTCCTGTACAGGGCCGTATTTTCGCCTTACCTCTTCAGAAAATTACTATGACGATAATTTGTCACACTTCCTAAACTATTTACTAGGAAATAATGTTTGAAAAATAGTTTTCGATCGTTATTTTGGGGTTGTGAAACTCGGTAGAGATCGGAAATTTCTTAAATGATGGGGGTTGATTTTCAGGGGCACTAAGTTTGACTACGACGCTGGACGGCTGGTCGATCGATATACGGCAGGATTATGTGCGGCTCTCCTCGTGTCCGCTTGAGTCTTTTTGTTCCTTTTCCGATTATTATTTTGCCTGTTTTTTCGTAATTGCCATTGCCTAATATTTTTATTTCATGTTTTCCAGCTAGAATCTCATACATCAAAATCTATGAGAATTGATCTACACGGGCAGTACAAAATACTTGATTTATTTATCTATGTAAATGAAATGTTCTTTATCTAAAAAAGGGTATAAACAATAACAATTTGTAGTACAGCCGATACATCATGAACGAGATATTGCGATGAAAATTCTGAATTGGATTTTGGAATGCAAAAAAGCGACCCGGCCAAAAACCGAGCTTTTAATTCTGCGCTTCGTTTATGCTTGCTTGATAGGAAAATGGCGTTTCCCTGTGCGCTGGTCCAGCATATTTCATACTTCTATACGTATAATGTCACCAAGAAAATATAATACTCACGAATTTATAATTTCAATGATTTACATGATATGGCATAAATTTTAACTATGCATACATTTAATTTAATATCTGATGACTGTTTCCCATTAATCATGTTTACATGGATATGCATACAATTTTCGAAATAAACATATATATTGATCGTCAAAGACTCGTTTATGCCTTCATATATTTAATATTTCGAGGCTTCTCTCTAACTTTGTGTAATTTCTGTCTCTCAAAGTCGTTTAGAACAATATGAAGAATTGAGTCTCAGCAGAATTAGAGCGTAAAATGATGTCATCGTTAGTAAAAATTATGCGGACGCCCGTTTTATTATGCATTTTTTTAATTCATATAGATTTTAAAACATTTAATTCTTAGTAGCGAGGAGAAATTTGAATTATAAAATAGACGTAATAAAATAACATCAGTTTTATTGAAAAACATTTACATAGCGGTTGTTGACATAATTCCTAGACGCAAAACGGAATTCATTGATTTTTAAATTGTTATCCATAAAAGTAGAGTTAAACAAAAATATATCTTTTGCACATAGCTGATTGTTCGATCCTATTATTATCTAGCAAATCAAACACTCATTGTTTGATAAAATGATAATGACTCAACTAAACTACATTTATTATTAAGTCGAGATATTTTTTATAAGGATGAAAAATCATAAATATTAAAATCTAAAAAGAATTTTTACAATAAAACCCTTTTCATAAAATTTAATAAAAAAAGTACCCATTGAGCCATTTTAAAATTATAATATTAAATTATATATATACTGTTATTAAAAGTGAACTTATGAAATTCATATTTTAAGCTGGAACAAAAATAATTTAAATGTTATTACAATAAGATTTCATATATACATTCCCTTATAAATAAATAATAACTTTAAATAATAGAAATATCTATTCCTCCATTACAAAAATGCAATTTCAAAACTATATTTACACTATTATTGCAACTTACATTATGAAAATTTTATATTCTAAAATAATACAAAAAGAATTATAATGTTAAATTGATGAAATTAAAAAATTTGTTCTCATGTAGCAGAATTCGTTTCTACAATTTAATATACATATAATACAAATATAGAAAATTACTCCAAGAATCTACATTTTTTACATTGCAGCTATTTCAAAATAAGCAAAAATTTTATAATATATATTAAAATAACTTGATTAACTATAATACATATTTTTAAAAACACTTCAACTGGCTCACAGCGCATTACTGATCATCTATAATAAATTTGTAGGTCATACTCCATGAGTAATATAATCATAAAAACTATTGAAATATGCAGTAGTCATTTCATTTACATATATATAGTATAATCATTAGAAAAATTATTTTATTAAGGTAATACCTACAGAAAATTAAAGAAACTCAAGTTATAATTTTTTCAGATACTATGTATAAGTTACTCATTTAAAATTTGTATTTTAATGTGCAATAACTGTAACAAAGTATATAATTAGAATGCAATTCCATATTGATAATTAAGAATTGTAATTAAAAATAATAGTTTACCAAAAAAATAAGAAACTGAATTTTACATGGCCCAAATATTTTTCAAGTAACTCCCTTTTATTTCTTGAATTTATGTATGTTTGTCAATCAGAATTTCCTGTTTTGTACTCTACCAACCAAATCTGGAATGAAAATTACCATAGTAAAAAAGTAACATTTACTTTACAAAATATTGATACTTCAATCTATAGTTTTGTCGTGTCAACTACGTACTATCATTCACATGCTTCTCTATTTAATTGAATGTGTCCTCCTAACACCACAAATGTAGTGTATCCTGTAATTGCAATTTTTGAATTATTATTAATTGTAACAATGAGTGTACTGAAAGAAAATCAAGCATAAAAATCAAAGAAATCAAAGATATATTTGTTGTAAAATATAGTTATTTCTATTCAGCTTTACATCCATTTATGTTATAAATTATCAACTTTAGATTTCATCTGATTGCTTTTGTACTATTAGATATTGACTCACCTGCTATTAAAAACAGTGTTTTAGCAGAATATAACCTGTTAGTAATTGGTATACTGGTAGTTACTAACTCAAATACAGAATTTACAAAATGGACCCTTTGAGCATTACCAGATACCTAAACAAAATTTCAAATTAATTAAGATAATTTGGTAGATAATATTTCATTTATTTAGTATAACGCAATATCTTCTATTCATATTTTATAACATCTACTTATTAAAATAACAAGATTTTAAAACGCACCAAATTATTATTAAGACTAATGGTTGAGAATAGAAATTAAGCTAGATTAATACTTACATGAAATGATTTCACAATGGCTGCCTAATTAAGCAACAATTCATACAGATCACATCATTCTTCAATAGCTTTGGCCAATCCAACTTCACCCAAAATCCTAGAAAAAACATTTATGTTATATTAAAGTCTCTACGATATCTACATTTTCATCCAATGTATGATAAATATTACACAATTATAAAAAAATAATGTGGCACTCAAATTTTAAAACAAACATAGATTTTATCTTTGAAAGAAAAGTAATTAAGAGTGATTTGTATTTATTAAAAAAATTATATTTTTCAACTAACAATTATATAACCTTGAAGTAGCGGCTTCTTTTTATAACTTTTTCTTCTTCCAAAAATCATGATTAGATCATTCTTATTGATTATACAAAGTACAAACTTTGCACAACATTTCATTTTCATTCATGAACTTTTGCTATTTATTTTGGTCCAAAATTGTTGACAAACACACAGAGTGCTTACTGTTTACAGAATGGTAGTCAACTCACGACATTATCACGATCACAACGTCAGCTGTGATACGCATGCGTAGCGTAACTGAGCTATTTCAAACATTTCGTCGTTTTACTACTTTTTCACTAATTTTGTAGTTTAAATGAACGCAGTGTCACACAATGTCAATTGTGTATATGTACTGAAATATTGAGATATATTTCTCGCGAATTTACAACCCTGGGTAAAATCAGTTAGATTTTTAGATTATGAACACAGAATCGAAAATAATTTGACTTTTCCAACTGTAGGTACATGAATTTGATCATTAAATGATTTTTACGAACTCATTAAAATTTCAAGACTAGATTATTTAGGTAAAGCAAAATGTAAAGCTTTTTTTTAAATGCTTCAAGCTAAAGGTTTATTTTTTGATGAACTTTTTTGCTTTTTTATCGAATAAAACCAAATTCTTGGATTAGTCGAACTTATAAATGTGAACTCATGTTGCGATGACGGATCGTAAGTAATCCGGATAGTGTTAGATAAATTAAGCTTAAAAATTACAAAGAAATTGCGTCAATAACAAATACGAGACTCTTATAATTCACTCGAGATATTGCATCGATCACATGCTCGTACGATTTCCGGTATTTTAATTTAAAACCGAGGAGTGCAGGGCAAGCGTGTCCCCACCTAGGTAACTCGATTCTCTGCATATTATACTGGAGGCGCTAATGCTGGCTGTAGGTTGGTTCACCCAAGATTAAGGATAATCAGCTACCTACACGTATCAGGTATACCAATGATTTTTTTCTAAATTTCTCTTTCTTTACTTATAAACTCGATGACGACTTATGATTTTTAGAATGATTTGCATCATGTTGGGTCTTTTAAAAATACGTAAAAGTATCTAAAAAGCTTCGCGCCCGAAGCCAGTAAAAGTTTTAGCTTCTTCGTAGTTCCTCAATCAACGGTCTGTGAAAAGAAAAAGCTTGCTTGCACCTGTTAATTCCCAAAAGAACCTCATCAAACATCGGTTATTCAAACCTTACGAAATTGTCCTTGCTCGAAAACTTGAAATTCAGCACGAAATCGTCGTCATATTTCCAATAATATATAACCTCCAGTTTCCATCCGAGCGCAGCGGTCGACACGAAAGAAGCGCGGAGTAGAAAAGAGCTCGACGTGGTAAAAATAAAAAAGGAGAAAGAAGCTTCTGCGGTGGGCGAGCTGAGGAAAAATCGAACAAAGGGGCGAGAGAAGAAAAGAAAGCTCTCTCTCTCTCTCTGCTTTCCCCTTTCTCGAAGATGGCTGCCAGAAGGGACGACGGCAGTGGGGAAGCCAAGAATGCGCATCCCTTCTTATCTCTCGTGACTTTTCCTTGGTGGAGCTTGCGAAGCGTGCGAGTTGGTACAATCGCTCGAGTTCGAGTATTTCTCACCGTTCTCCTCGCTGCGTCGTCCTACGCGCGGTAACGGAAAAAAATAGATTCCCTCGCCACTGTCCTTTATTATTTTTCTCCCTTAATTATAATGTCCTTGCCGCCTCTTTGAAGTACATCCCCGTTTTACATTCGTCGCAGTGTTTCCGCGCCTTCAAACTCGCGTAGGATTTTCGTTATTTCGCGACATCGTTTGGCCAATTGCAAAGCGTAACGGCGGCTGTCCGACGAAGCGGGCACAACCTAATGTATGCGGGATTGCTTATCGAGCACCTTTGAGCTCCTTGCTCCAATTTCAATATGAGAGACGCAGAAGCGTGTTCCTTGCTTCTCCGTGTCTATTGAAAATTTTTTTTCGAATTGAACTTTGTGCGCTGTTGACTCGGGGACAGGACGCGACGGTTCTTTACGGCAAATGTAAGGAGGCTCGTAGAACTGCCGCTCCTTTTGTAAAAACTTTTTTCCTCTCCGGAATAGGATGCTCATTACGATACCTTTTTACTCATGAAGACTTTACCGACGTACCATTTACGAATTTCAATATGAATGTTCGTCTCTGCGTTTTGAACAAGTACAATATTCTTTGAAAAAGACTTTAAAGACATTTTGAAGGTTTTGAAAATTTAAGAATAAACGCTCTCATATTTGCAAAAAAGCTCCTTAAACGCTTCGACTTTATTTTCTTTGCTGAAAAAAATCTTCTCTTGCAAATTTTCCCGCGCAGATGATTCCCTTCGTCTCAAAATCCCAAAACTCTCAACATGTTCACCCTTGTTATGTTCTCTCTGTCTGTCTCTCTCTCTCTCTCTCTCTCTCTCATCTCTCTCTCTCTCTCTCTCTCTCTCTCTCTCTCTCTCTCTCTCTCTTTGGTCTTTCTCGACTGCCTAGCATCTTTCCCCCTTTTTATCCATTCTTTAGATCTCTCTCTCTCTTGCTCTCTCTTTCTTTCTTATTCGCCGTGGAGGGAGAATGGAAAAAGAAGGTATCTTCACCCCAAGTCCGAGCTTGCCAGTGCGCGCGCATGCACCAGCTACCGTCACGGCTGCTACCTAACGACATAGCGTACAAAACGTGATCGCCAGTAGAACAGAGAATAAAAGGAAAGCCTTTGAAAAGAGTCAACATTTGCTAAGCAGCAAAGCAGGGGTACTAAGACGGATTAAATCGGGATCTGACGAGAGTGAATATCCTTGCACGAATCGACTTTTATTATTATTATTTCTTGCAAAATTGACAAAGACAAAGTTACTCGCACCGTATTTTGATTTTTCTAAATATACTGCTCGGCCCTAATCGAGGGAATTAACGCTCGATGAATACGACTCTTCTAACTTTGTCGCGTGCTCGCAAGATTGCTGGCATTTCGGGCATCCGAATGTGCATCTCTACTTGGCACGCGGATAGAGTATACGGTGATGATAAGCGCTGTTATCTACCCTTTCGATCTGCTACCGCTGCTACCAGCAGACTAATCCCATGGCGTCATCCGCTTTCCACGCCTTCTCTTTGAAAAAGGGCTCGAGCGATAAACCTTTTTTACATAGCGTCCTATGGCATCTATATCAACGAGATCATCCTTATAAACATAAACGATCGGCCAATGAACCTCGCAAGTTAATCCACCCCTGTCTACTTTATCTTCCTACTATTACTTTATCGCTCACAAAATGTCATTTCAAATTTTAATTTTCAATTTTATATTAACAATCTCGGCGAATGAAATGACTTTCCGTTGACTTTAAACAATGATTTTGTATGTATTTTTGTTCTTCATAGAACGACAAAAGAATATTACATAGTTCTTGCATCGGCTGAGACTCTCGTTTTTCGTTCATTTTTTTTTAAGTAGAAAAAGTAAAAGAAAATAGTCGCTGTGTCGAGCTGTCATATGTTAATTGTACGATTTATAAATGTAAGAGTGTAGATAGAGTGAAGCACAC